GGAGAGAGGCTGGGATTGAGAGGTTGCTGTTAAAAATTGCTAATCAGCAAGCTTTGAACATCTGCAGGATGCTCCTGGCCTGCCCTTCTCTGCCACCAGCGCTTCCAGGCCAGCCAGGATGCATCGGATAAAGCTTTAAAAAAAATCTAACACCTCCCAACAGCCAATCAACCTTCCAGGGGCTGTGGTGGGAAAAGAACCTAAATTAGGCAAAGTGCAAAATCATGGGAAACAGGAGATCAGAGTTTCCAGCACAGACCTCGTCCCAAAAAGGGGTTAAAAGCTTTGTCCTCCTCAGCAGGACATCCTCTCCAGCCCCTTGGAGGCTTGCAAACAGCTGATGGAGAGGGGGCTTCACACCAGAGTAGCAGGAAAATTGAGAAATATCAAAGAAATTCTTATTTATTTTCTCCTCCAGGAAGCATTGTCTGTTTGTTCTCAACAGATTTGCTGAAAAGGAAACTGTTTTCCATGAAAGATTTTTAAAGAGGGGCTCTGGACACCTGACATTTACTGCTTCCAAATTGCTGAGATGTTCAATTTTTAATTTAAAATTTAATTTTAAAAGTAATTTTAAAAATAATTAGTCCTTGGTGTCTTTAGAATGTGAGGTAATCTTATTTTTACTGGAGATGATGTTTAAAAAAATTAGATGGAGCAACAGAGTTGATCTGAAAGGGGCTTTTTCCCCCCTGCAGATTTCAGCTGGTGGTTTGAGTCAAATTTTAATTCAACTTGACATTGATACCACATCAGAATAAAATTTTTTTTTTGCTATTGTTTTCTTCTTTGTTCCCTAAAACAGCATCTGAGGCTGGATGTTTTCTGCTCAGTCTTCTCTGGGGTCTAGCAATCATTTGTATCACAGCCTCCCATAAATCCATGAATCCAACATTAAACTTTTTTCACAGATTAGCATTTATGAACCCTCAGCAAAGAGCCCCTGGGCCTGGACAGGAACAATCCAGCCTGGAAGTCGAGCGCCCTGTTGAGCTGCATCTCGTGGTACCTTTTCCATCACTTTGGTCGGGCTTTTGGAGAACATCTCAATTTAATTTGGCTCGGGAACCCCTTACACGCATGAGCTCTGCAGGGGACATCTGGTTTTCTGCACATCCAGTTCCTTGGTAGTTCTGCAGGAAATCTTTGGCAAATGAATCCCAGAGCTCTCCTCTCCTTGGTCTGGAATCTGAGAGTGGATTTTCAGAAAAGTGAACCTCATCTTGTGCAGAGAAATCTGACTCAAACTCGTCCACCTGACTTTGGCTCCAAACTGGCCAAGAATCCATTTTTGTTTCTTTGGGATGCCCTTCAGCTGGTATTTCTCCCCAGAAATGATCCCTCTGCTAGGCCGAGTCCTGAGGGCAAATTTGATCCGGCATTGATTCTGTCAGCACATCTGGCGAGGAACATGTGATTTTATTAATTTTTCCACTAGGGAGTTCAAATTTGGCCACTGGGAGAGCTCTCTGATCCTGTTGATTCTTTGATGAAGCTCATGAGCAAGGGAGACAGCCTTGGAAGGGATAGCCTGGATGTTTTGGAAGGTGGTGGGAGACACATCTCGTCCCCAGGGTGGGCCAGGAGCTCCCTGGGAAGGGTGAGGCTGGAAGGAGATGTGCTGGATTCTCCTTGGCTGCTGCCCTGGGTGGGAGGAAAAGCTGCTGCCGTGGGATTTGGGAGAAGGGGAGCACTTTGGCACAGCTGTAGGGTGTGATGGAGATGGTGCAGCGCAGGATGGGCTGTCATTTAATATAAACCTGTGTCCCTGAGAAGAGCCAGGGTAAATTAAGTGGGTTTCCAAAATTAAGTGGGTTTCCACTCCCAAATGAAGACATTATTCGCTAGCCAGGAGCTGCCTCCATCCCTTTGTGGAGGTGTTCACAACCAGAGCTCAGGAACGGATGAGGAGACCCAAATGAAACAACAAACTCCCTCAGGAGGGCTGCTCCAGACTGCCAGGCAAGATGGATTCCATTACCATCTGTATGGCAGCTGTCTCCTGTTCATTGGGCAGTTTTCCTTATATCTTCCAAAATCACTCCTCCCTGGGAGGGGACACTGCTGATAAGAGGCTATTGAATGTCACTGCATGGCTGATAAGAACTAGAACATCCCATTGGGAGATGTGAGCCCAGGGGGAGGAGCCAAGCATTGCTACCCAGATATAATCCAGAGGTTTGTGAGACACCAGCACGGCTTTCTCCACGGGATTCCCCAGAGGAACAGCAGCTGCCTCCCCTTCCACTGCATCTTCAGAGGAAGAGACTGCGCCTTTCTCCAGGATCCTGCTCCAACAGAACCACCCCTGACACTGCAGGAGGGCTGCAGCCACATTTCCAATGGGACTGCCACCAACAGCCTGACCCACAGGGTGTCAGGCTGGGTTCTGACTCTGGCAGTGTTGTTCTAGTGTACTGCATTGCTTATTTTATCCTTTTATTTTCTTCACTATTAAAGAACTGTTATTTCTGCTCCCATATTTTTACCTGAGAGCCCCTTAATTTCAAATTGATAGCAATTGGGAGGGGTGGGGAGGGTTTACATTCTCCATTTCAGGGGAGGCTCCTGCCTTCCTTAGCAGACTCCTGTCTGTCCAAACCGTGGCAAGAGCCCAGGTGAGTTCTCTGTCAGCTGGATCCCAACATATCCCAGATTTATCTCGGATAATCACCACAGTGAGCAGTGGAAACAAGCTCAAGCAAGGCCCAGCGTGGACCCTGCTTTAAACCACCTGTGTTCAGGCAGGTTGGGACTGAAAACATGCTGGTATATCCCACTTATGGGCACGGAAAACGAGGCATTAAAATAATCCAATTGAAGGTGCCCTTGCTTGTGGCCTCATGAACTTTAAAGGTCGCTTCCAACCCAAACGGTTCCAAGGTGGAAAAAGAGTTGGTGCTTCTCCAACTTTTAGGCTTCTCCTCCTTTCAGGCCTGGAAATTCAGTGTGAAGCTTTAAATGTGATGTGTTCTGCATAATAAACAAGGGATTTGTTTCAATTTTTGGTGTTGGTTTGTTTTTTTTTTTCCCCCACAATTAGGAAAACCCAAATCTGACATTTCCTTTCCCTTTTCTGGTTTATTTCCTCAGCAGCCAAGCCACAAGATCTGAGCAGAGACACTCACTGGGCAGGTGGAGCTGGGAGAATATCCACACAATTTAACAGCTCCCCACTTAGAGCCCAATAAAACCCAAGGGGAAGGAAAAATATTCCGTTTTTTAAAGGCATGTGGTGAGTTTCAGCAGCCGCCTCTTACTGAGCTTGTTTCCAATTACTGTGAGGTGTCCAGAAGCCAGGGAAAAGCAGCAGTGATCTCCTGTGAGAGCTGTCATTATTTTGCTGGGTACAGAGGAAAAAAACCCTGGACCAAAGCAGCATCCAGTGCCAGCCATTCCTTCTCCAGATCACCTGGAAGCACAGTACAGGAGGATGGAGCACCCATGGAGCATCCAACTCCTGGGAAGGGTCTGGATTTACCCAGGGCAATGGGGATTACCCCCAGGGCTGCCTTCCTGACCCCTCAGCAGCAGCTGCTGTGCCGGGATGCTGCCTGAATGCTGACATGTTAACAGCACCACGGTCCCTGCCCGGCACACGATCTGGCGAGAGGGAATAGCAGGATGCATTAATGTCATTCCAGATAACAATATTCCGCTCAGAGCGGGCTTCTGGCACCACATGTCCCCCTGCGAGAGAACTCTACCCCTATCGCTCCAGCGCTGGCTCCCGGCTTGAAAGGAATCCGTTCGGGCCATTAAAATGACTTGTGAAATGTGGGATAGTTAGCGAGTAATTAGGACCACATTTCGTTCCCCTGCCTGCCCGGAGCTCTGCTCACCTTCAGCTTTGCCTTTTGCACACCAACACCAGCACAATTTTTATTTTTTTTATTTTGGGATCATTCCTCCCCTCCATCCCCCTCCCCTCTTTGCTCAGCTGGTGTTTGTCACCTGCAGCATCTATTTTGTGAGG